CAGATCAAAGTTTTCTCAGAGTCTGAATGAGCCGCCAGACGGAGCTCCGCCTCCTTCACGGCCCCGGCCAGGCGGCTGCGCGTCGACTCCACCTCTGCCTCCAGCGTCTCACGGGCCTGGCGTTCGTTTTCCATACGGCTCGCCGTTTTTGCCAGCTCTGCCTTGAGGGCGGCCAGCTGGTTGTTGCAGGTGAAGACGGTCTGGGCTACGCTGTCGTTGCTGATTTTGAGGTCTCGCCGAGCGTCTTCCAGCTGCTCTTTCAGCGTCTCTTTCTCCTCCAGCAGATGGCTCTCTTTAAGCTCGCCGTTTGCCTGCGATCGTTCAAGATCGATCCTCAGCATGGACAGCTGCTCCTGCAGCGAAGCCGTCTGCTGGAGAAGCTCTCGCTCTCTGTCACTGGCTTCTGTGAGCTGAGACAAAGCCTGCAGAGAAAAACACCACCTACTGGTTATCTGGAGTTTATGACCAGCCAGAGACTGGATCAAAAGGTCGCTGGGATCACCTCACTGCTGCTGCTGATGATTCTCTTGTTCTCCACCTCCATCTCTTGCTGCTTTCTGAGATGACTGTTGAGCAGGTTTTCCTGCAGGGCCCGTGTGCTGCGTTCCTGAGCCAGCAGCCTCTGAGTCTCGGCGTGCTCCTCTTCCAGCTGTTAGGATTCATAGATGCACATTTAATAGACAGAAGCTTTTGTTAGCAGCAGAAAAAGGCAGGAGGAGGAGAACGCGCCTGTTTGGCGTTGCTGATCAGCGTTCTCATATCCAGCTCCACGTTTCTTAGTGTCAGCTCCACTTTCTGCTTCTCCTGAACCTCCATCTGATGCTGCTCCTCCAACCTCCGCAGCTTGTCCCTGGTAGCGTTGTACATCATGGTGGCATTATGACGGTTTTCCTGCTCTTGCTTCAGTTGAAATTTCAGGTTTGTGACTTGGGTCTGCAGTTCTAACTGGTTGCGCTCCAGCAGAGATTTTGCATCTTTAACCTCCTCCAGGGAGCCCTTTAGCGCCTCCCTTTCCATTTCCAGGTGGCTAACCTTCTCTTCCAGATACCCATGGCGGCTTTTCACTTTTTCGATGGCGCGTTCATACTCATGGAAAATGTTCTGCAGCTTTGTGATACTGGTTGAGTCTGAGGAATGAAACAAAGTCAGATCCAACTTCCACATCCTGACCTGTCTGCAGCAAGCAGACAGTAAAAGATTTTATAATTCCAATAAATCAGCGTTCATCTAACACGTTCAAACTGAATTATCTGCTTTTATGTTGCATATAAAAGAAGAATGACCCTAAATGATTCCTTAGACGTTGCAGAAGCTCATTACCAAAAGTGGATGAAGTCAGCCTCTGCATGAGGAGGGAGGCGTGACGGTAGCCTGAGGTGGGCGAGTCCATGTCATCTGTGGCTGTGTCCGAGGACTCGGTCAGCTCATCTAAATCATCTGCTGTGTCTATGTCTTCAGGCTTCTGCATCTTAAAAAGAAAAAGTGACCTAAAAATAATCCTTTATCAGGTTGAAAGAAGCGGTTAATCCAGTAACTGTTACTGTACCTTCCTTTTCTGCTGCCTTCTAGTCAACAACCTGAGCAAAGAGGAGAAAGAAAGGTCACTTTGATGGCGGATCAGCATGATTGTTGGTAGAATGCAGTCTGCAGGAACGGTTACAAATATCACCATCGATAACGTTAACGCTGGAGGACATCCCCGCTCCTCAGAGGGAACGCCTATTTAACGTGTGTGAAAAATGTGGATTTTTGTTATTCAGAGTTCGGATCATTGTCCTGCTGCATTATGGGTAAGTTTAGGGTCACGCAGAGATGTTACGGCATTCTCCTTCAACATGATCTTCATCAGTTATTGAATATTTTTCTGTTTCTGCCTGAGGAGGCACAACTACTCATGAAGTCAAACAAGCGATGGACCTAAAATATTTACGCTTGGCAAAAGCTGCAGGAACAGAAGAAGGGGGGGGGCCCAAACTGTGACAGCTGAATAAATTAAAGGTTTTATGACTTCAAACAAAGACCCACATCTTTGCTTTGTGTTCAGATTAGCAACACCACATGGGTCAGTGGAATATTGCATATTTACCTTTTTTGCCCACAGAAGCAGATGGGGGAGGGGGGTGCACTTTAACAACTTTCCATGAGAACAGAGAAAGCAACCCTCAACATCATTCCTCCGCCGCCTTGCTTTTGAGGAGCTTTTCTGCTCACCACTCGCTGCTTTCGTCCAAAACTTTCCGAAGCAAACAGATTGTTTTACTTTAGTGATGGTGGAACATAAAGGACAAGATGAGCGACATTAAGCCATCTGCTCACTGATGGTGGGAAAAATATGTTGGTCAGTCTGGAGACCAGTAAGGTAAAAACATTCAGAGAGAGGAGCTGAATGAATAAATTAATGAATGATTTGCTTTTAAGCTTTTTTTTTTTTAAACCAGTGCAAAGACATGTGGGAGGAGTTTATTTTTCAGCTTCATATATCCTTTTTGGGAATAATCATTTAATCCTACGGTCTCCATAAACAAATGTCTCACTGCCATCTTGAATCACTATTTATTCTGGAAACAAAAGCACAGAACTAAGATTCGTACCTTTTTGAAGGAAAAAGCTGCTCTTCCTGATCACATTCTTCAGCTCGATCCATCCGGCTTCCTGCGCAGGTCTCAGGTTTTCCCCCCGTTTCACTGCTATCCCAGGAGGCTGACGGCTTTCCCTCCTCTAGTTTAGCTGCTGGTTTGCTGGTGATCTGAAGAATGAGAAAATATATAATACTTGAGGAATAAACATCCGGCTGAGAAAGGCTGAGGCCTGACTTCAACCTGCATTTTGGATCTTTGCACTTTGTCATCCATAATTCAGTAATGCCGCTCCCACTGGAGACCCAACACCTGAAAGCTACTGAGTTTATTCTACAAGAGTGGATCTAGTATTTTAAATTCTATTCTGGATTTAACAGGAAGCCAATGAAGAGAAGCCAGGATAGGAGAGATATGATCTCTCTTTTTCATTTTCATCAGAACTCTGGCTGCAGCATTTTGGATCAGCTGAAGGCTTTTAACTACAGTTTGTGGACTTCCTGATAGTAAAGAATTACAATAGTCCAGCCTTGAAGTAACAAATGCATGGACTAGTTTCTCAGCATCACCCCTGGACAGGAGATTGCTCATTTCTGCAATATTCCTCAGATGAAAGAAGGAAATTCTAGAAACCTCTTTGATCTGGGATTTAAATGACAGGTCCTGATCAAAAATAACACCAAGATTTTTTACTTTATTATCTCAGCTCGAGGTTTGTAGACTGTGCTGGAAAACATTTTCCCTGTTCTGGAGGGTTCACTGAATGCTGAACTAAATGCACTGAACTTTATCAATCACATGAAAACACAAAGGTTTGTATTTGGTAAAGAAAATGTAAACAGCAAGAGGTGAAACATTTTGCAAAGTGAACTAAATTCTCACTGCTGAACTAAGAAGCACAAAAAATAAACCAAGAGGTTAGAAAACTGTGGAACGAGTTCAATTAAACGCTTCCTGGCATCAACTCAATGGTTTTACTAAATAACATTTTATCTGAGCCATCTCGTGTTAAAGCACATCTAAAAGCTTCCCCAGGATGCAAGAAGAAAACTAAACTAAAAGAAACGCATCATCTCATTTCATGCATCAAAGAAAATTATTATTCATGCAACCTTCACTCACGTTTTACACAAACATGCAAAGTACATGTATGACACATGAATATAGAACAAAATCACAGAAGCTAGTCTGGGATTAGAGTCGCTAGCATATTTTTAGAGTTTGTATTGATTCAGGTTTTTAAATTTAATTTAATTTTAAATTTAATCTCATGTACTAACAGTTTTTGAAATGTGTTTTAAATGGTGTAAAAACAGATTAGTTTTAGAACAAAAGGAGTTTTTATTCTGGCTAAAACTCAAACTGCTAATCAGATTAAGGGTCCTGCCGCCCCTCTGACCCAATGGCTGATCAGCCGTACGTCTCCACAGTTAATATAGTGAAGCTCCGTTTTTATTTAGCCTGAGAAACTGTAGATTTATTAATTCATTTGACATTTTTTGCCAATAAATTCAAAGCAAATCTAGAAAAGGATGAAAAGTTGGTCTTGGTTGATCAAACCAATGTTTAACTATGTTTAGCCACTAATAGACATCTTTATGAGGACAGTTTTTTAACTTTGAACTGAAAATCTTTTAATTTGTTTAGAAATAAAGGAATAGGCATTTCCCTTTTATTTCTGCAGGAAAACCATCATAGTGAAATGAATATAATCAGGACTATTTTTCCCTTACAGCTGTTGGACTTCAAATACCACAATTATCTGGTTGGGTGGAGTTTAACACTAACGCATAACGTAGAAGTTTAATGACATTATGTAATGGGAAATAAGTTAGTTAGTCCTCAGCAAGCTTCTTTATCTCTTTATAAAAGAGGCTGGAAAGGAAAGTCAGTCTCCTTGATGACAGAAAGAGAGCGTTAGAAAGAACAGCTTTCAATGAGGTGCTAAACGGAAAAGATGCTAAAAACTCACTAAAGGTCTAATTCATCCAGATCAAAGGTTTTCCAAACTAGATTGTCAGAATGGGAGTAAATTAAAATCAGATAGTAGTGATCTTTAGCTGGACCTGATGGGATCTATGGAGTCACAACCTCATTCCATCCATCATCCACAAGCTGAGACTTGTACCATCTCATCCACTGACTGTTAGCTGACTGGTTGGACTGGGAAGAGCTCAGTGTGTTGAAGGGAAAGTAGTATGAATGATGAAACACGAGACAAGGAATAATTAACATGGAACAATAAGGAAACGGGCCTGAACTGAAACAGAGATGCATTCAGGTATCTAAGAAAAGAGAGAATGATGAAGTTCAGAAGCATCAGTGAAAGAGGCAGCGATCATAGGTGGCCTCTTGGCCTTTGCTCTTAGCACCGTTCCCAGGATTCCTACCTCAGAGGTAAACTTTGCCACGTCCTCTTCATCGTGTCCTTCTCTGTTGGAGACGTCTAGATGATGAGGCGGCTCAGACCCTGAAGGTGAAATGCTCCTCCCAGCTTCATGAAGTTGGGTTTTGGTTTCATCCCTTTGGTTTAAATGCTCTTCCCTTTCCTGGGCAGCGCTGAGCTGTGATGAAGAGGCGCCTGGAACATCAGCTGTGAGTAGAGCGGACTTATGATCCCGAACTGCCTGATCACAGTCCTGCCACCGTTCCTCACACATGGAGTGATCAGGGGGCCCTAAAGCGGACCCCTCCTGTCTGGTATGCAGAACAGTAGATGTCGCTCTAGCTGCAGGTCCAACAATGACTTCTTCATCCACTTCCTCACTGGATGCAGAGCTGGATGCAGGGCTAGCCTTTTCTGACAGACTCCCTGAGTTCAACATTTCTCCAAACTTCTCTTTTAATTCCCCAGCGACACTCTTAAAGGAGGATTTGACCTCCTTTTTCTCCAACTCCACCCAGAGGTTCTCGTAGCGCTTCTCCCAGGGTTTATCTCCACCAGACTTTTCTTTAAGGTCATCATCGTCCTGTTCTTCAGTGTCAGAGCCTGCGGGGCCTAAGTTTTGCAAACTGAATTCGCATCCACCTTCTGCATCCTTGTTGTCCTTTGATGTTATCAGCAGGCAAAAAAAAACGACAAAAAGACAAGAAATGATAATATTGATAATATTCAAAACATGGGGAGGACATACATTCAGAACTATTAGTTATATGTGAGATGCGTTTAACATCTAGAATATAAAGATCATTTCATGTGTAGAATAAACTAAAGTGGTGCTTTCTGTCATGGATTTAAGGAGCATTTTTAGTTCCAGATGTTTTACAGGAGTCCAGGAAGAATTTGGTTTGTGACGTTTATTAGAAGTCTAAATGTTAAACTGTTTTATCCAGAATCTATAAAAAGAATAAATTACAATCAGGACTCATAGTTATTCATCTAATCATTTTCTGTTAGAGCATCAGCGTACCTCCATTTTCAATTCTGTAATAAACTGATGTACTTTTCTCCTGTAAATCAGTCGTTGCTCTTGCTCTGCCTAATTCTCCTCAGTCATCACATGGAGCTCCCATAGATATCACTAGAATTCCCAGAGAATTCCAGATTTCCTGCAGGCCCCCCTCCCCTCTTCCAGTCTGTGTATTCACTCTACCTTGCTAACTGTCCTTGTTGTAATGCTAATAACCTGTGATGTGACCAGTCCTTCTACAGGAGGCTGGATAAAGGCTGAAACTAACTGGCATCAGAACCAGAGCATGCTCCACTTTTCAGTACCTGCAACATCAGACCTTTCTGCAGGAATTTCTTGATAAGTCAGATCTAAATCTTTTATTTAAAGCTATTGACCAACCAGATATCATACGGGTCCTAGTTCCTGAACTGAGAACAGGTCATAACCAGCTTTTCCAACAAGGCAAGGCAGAGCCTATTTATATTTTCCATTCACCAACAGACTCATTTATATTGCAAAGCTCACTATGTGAAAGAAACTTAGAGAATAATTGTATTTTGTCTGTTCTCACCTTTTCATGTCATTCAACATTTCGGGTTAGAGAATGAAAAACAGTCTGATTTCAGTATTTCACCCAAAGAAAAATCTCTACATATGAAGCTACAATTGTCCCATTTAGTAGTTTTTACAAACCCAAGGTGAGTCCTTCCTGCATTTGTGACATTTATACTTTGCAACAGGAACCACAGCACTGAGCGTTGTGTTCACTGCACACCTGGCCTGCTTATAATAACAATTAATAAATCTCAAACAATAGAGTTTAGCAAATTTTCCCAAATTAAGACTTGTAATTTGAACTAGATGAGGTTATCTATGTGTGCTACAAGTTTGGAGGCACTACAGTGATCTATAGTGTAATTATTGGCTATTATCTGCTTATAATAACAATGAATAAATCTCCAAAAATACAGTTTGGCCTAAGTTCCCAAAGTAAGAGTTTTAGTCTGATCCAGATGAGGTTATCTGTGTATCGTACAAGTTTGGAGGCACTACAGTGATCTATAGTGCAGTCATTGCAATATGGGAATTGGAGCTATAGAAATAAACTGAATAGAATTGAGTTAAAAAGGGGAATATCCCAGTGATGATTAAATGGTTAACCAATCAGTATGTTGATTGGGTTAAACAGCAACATTTAAGTAGGTTGAAAACAGATGTTCAAACCAACCAGCCTCTGTTACCTTAAAGCTTAAGCTGTTTGTGAAGGAAACTGATTAAATAATGAAATCAAAAATAATTTGTCCTACAGTTTACAGCGATGCATTACAGCCGCTTAGCTTATCACATATTAGACATGTGTAACTTCTGCCAGTGACTAAGGGACCCTTCATGGATGCAGACTTTAAAATGGGAAGAAAGCCAAGACATTTGAGAAAGACAGTGGTTAGATTTTGCTTCTATTGAAAGCCAAAACCTGAATGATATTTTTAGTTTAGCCAATTTAGATCAAGATATTCAAAGGTAGGACTTATTGGAACCAAAGTGAGGATATCTGGTGTATTTTTAGACCGATGTAGTTGAGCTGGAGACTAGAAGGCATAGTCAACATTTCTCACCTTTACTTGTTGGTCTTCAAAGTCTAAGCCTCTTTCAGTATTTCCTGTCGTCACTGAGAGCTCAGCAGAACCTGGAGGAAGATCAGAGTCAGCAGCCAGAATAGCAGGCATGTGAAGACATACAGGTCATCTATAGAAGCCTTAGTGAACCAGACCTGCCAGATGCTCAGCAACATTTTGCAGCGGATTGTCAGACAAAGACTTCTTTTGAGAGCCTGCCGTTTTCTCTGGCTCTGAATCTGATTCTGTTTGCAGGAAAAATAAATAAAAGAACAAAATCTATAGTTTAAGACGCTAAGAAATGCAACAAGGATAAAAAAAAAGACGCACCTTCCTCGCTGTCCGGTTTCTGAGGGATCCTCATCCTCGCACGAGGTCGGGGCTGAGGAGCGGACTGGGTTGGTGTGCCGGCAGGAGCAGCATCTTCAATCTGTTCGCTACCAGAAGAATTAGCATCTTCCTGAAACCCTTTGAGCTCAGGGGACCCAGGCAAGGCCCCCTTACTGGGAATACTGGTAGAATCCCAGTCTGATCCATCTGCACCATATAAACAAGACATTCTATGTTAGGAATCAATTATGTTTATTAAGAGTTCATCTCGAATCAAACCCCCCCCTCAGCCATGGGTGCTTCTACACCCTTTCAATCCACTCTAAAGAAGTTAGATGTCGTGTTTAAAAGCTGAAGTGCTTTAATTTTATTTAAACTCTTTTACTGCAACTGAGCGACTTTTCCTGCTGATGGTGGACAGAAAAGAACAGTCAGCCCCACATCAAACCAGCTTTTAGATCAAATCATGATTTTCCTCATTCTGCACCAACTGTCACTCTTGTATTATAAACTATCAGTTTTCTGTTAGTCAGTTGCTATTGGAAACAAGTTTTAAAGGAAAATAGAAAAGGTTTACAGAATGAACTTGTCCTAAACTAAGTAATTTTAAAGTGAAATCCTCTAAAAGTATAATATGAAGCAGGTATAAGTGGTTGGTTTAGACACGGTAGCTCTCCTGTTTGATGGGAATCATTCAAAAATAAAGGATCCGATTTTCTAGTGTAGAAACAAAACAAAAAGAACAATAATCTCACCTTCCAGATCATCGACGTCTCCCACGCCGAGCTCTTCCCCGATGTCCATTTCTTCTTTAGGTTTGCTGAAAATTCTTCGCAGTTCCCGTTTTGGACTTTCACTCTGGTTGAAATTAAAAACACATTTCTGTTATTTTAGCCTTTATTCATTAAGTTCTGAGGCTCAACCAGACTCACCTTTTTCTGTAGTGTAGCGTCTTTATCAGCGGCCCCCCCTACATCATGTTTACCGTCTTTTCCAGCTGCAAAAGAAGGGAAACTTTTTAACATCAGCAACTTACAAGTTTTCCTGTAAACGGTGAGTTTTTCCTGTTGATGGGAGGTGAGAAGCATTCTCATGCATATGAGCTGGAGGTTAGTATGAACTTACATGCCTTAGTAGGATCCATGCCAACTGACTGATCTGACTGGCTTTAGCAACAGCCAAGACTAGCAGAATTTAAACCACATCATCATTTTCAAAAGAAAGCAAGCTTAGGTTGCCTCATGCAGTGTTTTGCAGAAGCACAGCAGTCTGGGTAACGGAGTTCTGACAACAACTGGCATCATTTCAAAGAGCAATGGCGACGCACAGGGAAGTTAGCTGCTCATGCTAACATTTCCAAACACATTAGCTGAGCATGGCAGTAGAAAATGATATATAGGTTGTTCTACTCGTCTTAAAACATGTAAACAAAACATTAACATCTAAAAGCATTATCTATGAGTCAATATAATTCATACAGGAGCTAGAAGATAAAAAAAAATATATATATAAAAAAAAATGATCAGAACTAAAATAGGTCCAACGTCTCAATCAGTCAACATTTTCCAAAAGGTTTTGTATTTTGAGAAATAATTGCCAAAAGTATAAAGTCTGTCAAACATCTGCCTGCATATTGTGAGGGACACAAACTACTGGAGCCCGAAGGCTAATTTATGCTTCTGACGCAGAGCCTCTTCAACCGCCAAACCCGTCTCTGTGCGCGACCACACCCCCCTGCAACTGTCGTCGCACACCTAAAAAAAATATCCTGACT